AGCATTACTCACAATAGCTAAAAGATGGAAACAATCAAAATGTCCATCAACAGATGAATGGATAAACAAAAATGTATAAACATACAATGGAACATTATTCAGCCTTAGGAAAGAATGAAACTCTGACACTTGCTGTAGCATAAGTAAACCTTGAAGACATATGCTAAGTGATTTAAGCCAGACACAAAAGGACAAATATTACAGGATTTCATTTATACTAGGTACCTAGATGACAAATTCATAGAGACAGAAAGTAGAATGGTGGTTACCAGGATTTGGGGGAGGGGAGAATGTGGAGTGATTACTTAATGAGCATAAAGTTTTGGTCTGGAAAGATAAAAAAGTTCTGCAGATAAGTGATGGTTGCACAACAATATGAATGTATTTATTGCCACTGAACTATACACTTAAAATGGTTAAAATGGTAAAATGTTGTGTATATTTTATCATAATAAAATATTGATTAAAAATAAAATCCAGCCCTAACCAGTTTGGCTCAGTGAACAGAGCGTCGGCCTGAGGACTGAGGATCCCAATTCTGGTCAAGGGCATGTACCTTGGTTGTGGGCACATCCCTAGTAGGAAGTGTGCAGGAGTCAGCTGATTGATGTTTCTCTCTCATCGATGCTTCTAACTCTCTATCCCTCTCCCTTCCTCTCTGTAAAAAATCAATACAATACAATAAAGAAAAAAAAATCCAATGTCTGATGACAAATTATGAAAATGTCCAAGTTCTAGTTGAAAATCACTCATACAAAAAACCATGAAGAGCTCGAAATAAATGTAAAAAGATTATCAATAGATACCAACATAAAGATGATGGGAGATGTTAGAATTATCTGATAAACATTGGAAAGCAGACATGATAGAAATGCTTCAACAGACAATTATGACTATACTTGAAACAAAAAAAGCATTACTACTTAAAATAAAATTGATTAGAAAAAGTTCCATTCACAAGCAATATTTAATAAGTTTAAATCTCAATGCAACTTATCACCCTGCCTTCAGTGATTTAAGGTCAATGACAAAATTATTAGAAACATAGACAAATTTACAATCCAAGTGGGACATGCTTTCCTTAGCCTCTCAATAACTGATGTGAAAAATACAAAAGAACTAAAATTTAAATAGTATTTAATTTAAAAACCTTACTTAATGAATGTGTTGTTATACATATTTATGTAATACACAACACTAAAGAATAGTCAGCCCTAACCAGTTTGGCTCAGTGGATAGAGCATCGGCCTGCGGACTGAAAGATCCCAGGTTCGATTCCGGTCAAGGGCATGTACCTTGGTTGCAGGCGCATCCCCAGAAGGAGTGTGCAGGAGGCGGCTGATCGGTATTTCTCTCTCATCGATGTTACTGGCTCTCTATCCCTCTCCCTTCCTCTCTGTAAAAATTCAATAAAATATATATTTTTTTAAAAAGTATAGTCATTATGCTCAAGAATACAGAGAATAATTTACCAAAATTGTCCACATTTTGGGCCATAAAGTAAGTTTCAACAAATTTGAAAGGACTTGAGTCACACAGAACATATTCTCTGACCTCAATGCAATTAAGCATTTGTTAAGAAAACAGTAACAAAAGCATAACTATAAAACTCTTATATGTTTGAAAATTAAAAACCATACTATAGATAATTCATGGGTTAAAGTAGAAATCACAATGGAAATCAAAAAACACTTCAAACTTGATAGTAAAAATACTAAATATCAAAATGTCATGGATGCAATTATTTAAAGAAAAATAGCTAGCCTAGGAAAGAAGGTTGAAATGAGATAAAAAATTAATCTCAGAAAATAAGGAAGGGCAAAATAAACACAAAGAAAGTGCAAGAAAAACAGGAACCTGCTCACCTAAAAGGCAGTGGGAGTGATATGTAAGGATTGGGGTTTTGGTTTTGCTTTGCTTTTATCAAGGACTTAGTCTAGGAAGGCTTCCTAGGGAAATGTACCTGAGCATTCTGTGTATCTTTCCCAGTCCTGTGGCTTTCTTTCCTTTTTTTTTTTTTTTTTTTTAATGAATTGCAATAAAATACATCTAACATAAAATTTATCATTTTGACCATTTTAAGTGAATAATGCAATGGCATTAAGTACATTCACGGTGTTACGCAACCTTTGTCATCATCCCAGGGACTCGGCACCCATAAAACAATAACTCTAAATTCCCCTCCCTCACAGGTATCTGAGGTACCTATGAATTTGCCTATCATATATTTGTCCTTTTGTATCAGGCTTAACTCACCTAGATTGTCTTTGAGGCTCATCCATAACGTAGCTCCTGTCAGAACTTGGTTCTTTTTAATGGCTGAACAATATTTCATTGTATAACTATGTCACAATTTTCATTCATCTGTTGATGGACCTATGGCTTTTAATAACAGATGAGCCTTTCTCATTATTCCTATCATCTTATGAAAATACAGTTTACTAATAGCTTATATGTTTTTGTTATTTTTCAATACTTCAGGCAACAAATTGTAAGTTCTTATAGTGAATTACAAACCTGTCATCATTTGTTTTATAGAAGAAAATGTAAAAGAAAAAAATAGACTTTACATTGTATTTTTCCAAAAGTAAATTTCTCTCTCATTTATAATCTTTTTTTTATTAAATTAAGATTCTTTATTTATTTTAAAATTGACTTCTGCTATACACTTCTCTCAGATGGACCATAATGAAATAGTAACACTAACGTATGTGAATGTGCAAAATGTCAGTTAAATTAATATGATACACCCTTTCCTTACAATAGAAAGTTCATCTGTCCCTCCCTCCCCCCCACCCCGCATGCCCTCCCCCTGCCAAGCCTCAGGAAAACCAGCTCTAGTGCATGTCATCAGGATGACATGTTGTTACATGTGTAACATCGTTTGGTCCCAGCCAATTTGCCTCAGTGGATAGAAAGGGTCCAGGCTTCGAGTCTGGTCAAGGGCACATGCCAGGGTTTCAGGCTCGATCCGTGTGGGGAGCATGCAGGAGGCAGCCAATCAATGATTCTCTCTCATCATCCATGTTTCTATCTCTTGCTCCCTCTCCCTTCCTGTCAGAAATCAATAAAAATATATTTTTTAAGTATTTTAAATAAATGAGACATTTTATATCTTTTTTCATCCAATCTAGTATTCAGTTTTCTGGCAATTTCAGTCCATGTTCAGTTTCAAATTGTGTATTATTTATCTCAGTTCTCTTTTTAAAAAAATTTTATTAATTAATTTGAAAGAAAGAGGGAGAGGGAGAGAGAGAGAGAGAGAGCGAGAGAAACATTAATTTGTTGTTCCATTCATTATGCACTCATTGGTTGAATCTTGTATGTGCCCTGACCTGGGACCAAACCCACAACTTTGGCTTATCTAGACGATGCTCTAACCAACTAAACTACCTGGCCAGGACCTATCTTATTTGATTTCAAATTTGATTATTCATCTACTTGGTTTTCCTTCCTCTTCAGAAAAATATTAAGCGTGGGACAGGGGTTAAAAATTGAATTCAATCTGGACAATTTAGTTACCTATTAATAATGCCATTATTATATATCAAAATATGACAAATCACTGGCCCAAAAATATTTGGTGTTAAAAAAAACAGTACAGCTACTAAGTTCCTTGAGAACCTTTTAACTTGTTTCATTCTGTGAACATTCTCTTTATATTTTGGGTATTTCATGCTATATGAAGATACTATTTTTAGTAGCTATTTTTCTTAGTTTCACTGTTTATAGTTTGGTATCTTTGTACACAGTTTCACTTTGGATTTCCTGGCATGAAAAAACATACTGCAAATCTACCTTCTCATATGCAGAACATGAATATAAAGGGGAAAAATTACTAACAGCAAAATTTTCAAAAAGTACTTTTCTCTACATCTATAAATATCTCTGAGAAATTAAAATCCTCTTGGAAACTGAAATTGGTTAAGGAAACAGATGTTTGAAGTCTCCTAAGTATAGTACAGGGAATAAAGTTTGGCACCAACAACAATTGCAACTTAAGTATATTTCAGAAAAATTATCTGACTGTATCTTTAGAATATTTAAAGATAAACTATTTTTACTCCTCTTTGATAAGAATTTTTTGAGGTTTTAGATTTGTGGTGTTTTTTTTTAATACAATTTTATCCTTTCTTCAGATATGTTATTATGGACTAAGAAAAATTATGTACCTAAGAATTATCGGAATTATATTTTGGCACATAATTATGCTTCTTTTGGTAGTTATTACATTTTGCTTTGTGTTACAGGTATTTGTGTAAACACTGTATGCCCAACTGGTTTATAAATGACTTGCAGGCAAAGTAACATAATTTATTTCATGATTATATTTTTCCTTATGCCTCATGTTGCACTTTGCACATATAGATTTTCAATAAATATTGGCAAAATGTGGAATTGTTGAATAATCATGTAAAAAATAATGTTAACAGTGAAAAGGGAGGTTATTTTATTCTTACTTATATTGTAATGAAGACTATTCTAAACTCTATGCCCTGATGACACACACAAATATTTAAATTATTTATGTGCCTCAACTTCACATGATTTCATGGTAACTTGATAGCAATCACATTTAAATATATTAGAATATTTTTGTAATAATGTTAATCTAGAATAGCAAGTTTAATTACTAGGAAAACATGTTAACCCAAAGGAAACAGAAAAATTAAACATTTTTTTAGAAATCCATATATAAGTTTAAACATTCCACTATAATATTTATGAGCAAACCTCAATTAAAATTCATAAAATACAAACTATCAAATGTTTCAATTAGGTAATAATTTATATTATATTTTGTTATTTTTTCCTCTGTACACATCAATGAATGCTAAATTAAAAAGATTATTTTCTCCTTTAGAGTCTTTGACTAATATTACCAGTATATAAAAATGAATTGTGCTTCGTCTAAAAGCCTTAGCAATCTAAAAGTCTTCAATTATCAACCAATATGGTGTTAGTCAGTGAACACAAGTACTGTCAGTGATTTTTCTTACCTTTAGGACTGCTATGAATGGTACAAAGTTAGCTCTTTGTAGTCCATTTTTATAGAGATCTGAAAGAAAAAAATGATATTGGCTTTTTTTTCTTTTTTTATTTCAGATGGGAAGGTAGAGGGAGAAATAGAAACATCAATGATGAGAATCACTGATCAGCTGCTTCATGCATGCCCCCCTCTAGGGATCAAGCCCGCAACCCAGGCATGTGCCCTTGACCAGTATTGAACAGGAGAGCCTTCAGTCTGCAAGCTGACGCTCTAATCACTAATACAGCTAGGGTTGGTATTAGCTTTTTACTTAGCCTAAATCATGATGTAAGCTTATATATTAGGCTGACAAATAAAGTTTTCTACTGATTAAAAAAAAGATAAAGGAACAAAAAAGGAAAGTATAACCAAAATTAATTTTTGTTCTTATACTAAACAAAATCCATTATATTCTTAATAAGAAAAAATGTTAACGATCAAAGAAAGACAAAAAGGCACTCAAATCAAATTAACTTTAAACTATAATAATAATTTTTATTGACTTCAGATATAATAGAAATATCAATGATGAGAAAGTCATTGATTGTCTGCCTCCTACAGGCCCCCTACTGGGGATCAAGCCTGTAACCCGGGGATGTGCCCTGACAGGAACAGAACTGTGACCTCCCAGTTCATAGGTAGACACTCAACCACTGAGCCATACTGGCCGGCTCAAGCATTTCTTTTTAATAGGTTTACATTAAAACCTCTCCTCCATGGGATTTATTTACCTTTTTCAGCATTTTGTTTTATTTATTCTATTTCTACATAAGTTGTTTCCCTACATCACTAATTTAATTTTCTTTAAATTCTACAGTTTAATTATTCTAATGCTGATTTTTACTTATTTAATTTAATCTCTTTTTCTTATCTTATTTAGCTTTCTTTTATTTCAGCTGATTTCTTAGCAAAAAAAATATATATTTTCCATTGAATCTGTCATCTTCTCTCAGCTTAGATTTTCTACATCACAGAGTCAATGTTTTCCTGATTTTTAAAAAATACAAAATGAATTTTCTCTTACTTCTCTTTCCTTCTTATTGTTCCCATATTAGGGTTGGTGGTTTGCTTGTTTTTATAACCTTGAAAAAGGAGTAGTATGACTAATCTTGGTGAATCCCTGTAGTCAAGACATGTGGTTTTTTTTTCTTGGTTCCCCTCACTATCACCTGTTGTTCCTGTAATCTTTGCCTGTACTGTAATTCAATGTTAAGAACTAATAGTTGATGCCCTAGCTGGTTTGGCTCAGTGGATAGAGTGTTGGCCTGCGGACTGAAGGGTCCCAGGTTTGATTCCGGCCAAGGGCACATGCTTGGGTTGCGGGCTCCATCCCCAGAGGGGCCATGCAGGAGGCAGCCAATCAATGATTCTCTCTTATATTCATTGATGTTTCGATCTCTCTCTCCCTCTCCCTCTCTGAAATCAATAAAAAAAATATATTTTTTAAAAACTAATAGTTGGCATACTTAGCTTGTTCACACTTATACCGTAGTAGAATATCATGATGTCTCTACTAAGCATCATTCTGACTTTTGGACTGATATATATATATATATATATATATATATATATATATATATATATGGTATTATATTTAAAAACTATCATCTATTTATATTTTGTATGATTCTATCAAGAAAGGTGTTGCTTGGCTGGCATGGCTCAGTAGTATACATAGATCTATGAACCAGGAGGTCATGGTTTGATTCCCAGTCAGGGCATATGCTTAGGTTGCCCTCCACTGCAGGCCTGGTCCCCTTCAACTGCCCTCCCCTGCAGGCCTGGGTCACCCCCAACTGTTCTCCCCTGCTGGCCATCTATGGTGACCATCTTGTGTCCACATAGGGGCAGCCATCTTTGAGCACATGGGGTGGCCATCTTGTGTGTCAGAGTGACAGTCAATTTGCATATTACTCTTTTATTATATAGGATTATTAGATAGGATAATATGCTGGCTTAAGGAAGGATCACATAGCATTGTTGCCTGATAGAATCTAAGTAATATAGGATTATTCTTGGACATTCTAATGTTAGAATGTTAGAGACAGGATCATTGATCAGCTGCCTCCTGCACGCCCCACACTGAGGATTGAGCCAACAACCTGGGCTATTCCCCTGACCAGGAATCAAACCCTTGTTTATAGGTCGATACTCAACTACTGAACTATGCCAACCAGGCTATTACAAATTTTTCACTGCATTAAGAACGTGGTGCGCCTAGCACTTTGCGCTATACACAAGCATTGGCAGACTTGCCTGTTTCCTCCTCTACTTTAACCCTCATCCTCCAAAATATCTTGGTGTTTTGGTTTTTTTTTAATTAAATAGGAGATAAAGAGAAACAACACCTCCCCTCCTCACTTGAGAAATGGCTACCATTTCTTTTGATGTCCCTGCTGTGCCCCTCCCTGGCAGAGAAAACACTGTTGTCTTAATCATTCCCTGGCTTTCCTTTGTTATGTTATTACATGTTTGTATTGATTTTACATGTTTTTGAGTTTTATATAAGTGGTTTTATCTCATGTTTATTCTTCTGTGGCTTGCTTTTTCACTCAGTATTATATTTCTGAGATTTTTCCAAATTAATATGTGCAGCTATATAGAGTGATCCTTTGAATATATCACAATTTATTTCTCTATTTTGTCCCACTATATCACCCCACTGTGTTTGATAAGTTCTATTCTTGGTCTTTGCTCTTCCATATACTAGTTGATTTTAGAATCAGCTTGTCAAGTTCCACCAGTTATAATAAACCTTGTTGAGATTTGACTGGAACCCACTGAATCTATAGATCAGTTTGAGGAAAATCAACATCTACATGAAATTGAATTTTCCAGTTCATGAACATAGTATGACTCTCCATTAATTTTTTCAATACAGTTATATACATTTTTTCTCATAAAAAAAATCCAGCCTATAACCAGGTATTATCCATTTTACCTCTTAAATATCTTTCAAATCTATCTCCTCCATATCCATTGACATCACTCTGTAGCAGGGTTTCTCAACCTTGGCACTACTGATATTTTTGGCTAGGTAATTCTTTGTTGTGGGAGGAAGCCCCATACATTATAGTATTTTTGGCAGAATTCCTAGCCTCCACCTACTGGATGCCAATAACAGCAACCACACCCTGCCTTACCTACTTGGGACAACTAAATATGTCTCCAACATTGTCAAATATGCCCTGGTGGGCAAAAGAGCCCCCCAGTTGAGAATCACTGCTTTATGCCAAGCTATCACCATTTCCTGCCCAGTGTATGCAATAGCCACCTAATGTCTCCCTGAATGAGCCAATCACTGCACCCCATCCTGTAACCCATCTCCACACTATAACCCCAGTGATATTTCCAATTCCAATCTCACCAGTCCCTGCTAAAGCACTTCACTGGCTTCTCATTTCTCTTAGAGTAAAATTCAAAGTGCTTCTGGGTATTTTCTGCGGTCCAGCTCCCACTTCGCCAGATGCTTCCTGGACCTCACTGCCTCCCCGCTCCCTCTTCCTGCCACTTCAGCCACAACAGCTACATGTCAGTTTCTCCAGTGAGTCATGCTCTCTCCCGCCATTGGGCTTCGCTTCAACCTTCTGCCAGGAAGGCTCTTCCTCTTGTAACATTCTGAGAATAAGTAAATGTTATTGTTATTTAAAAATAATAACAATGGCCGAGACCGGTTTGGCTCAGTGGATAGAGTGTCGGCGGACTGAAAGGTCCCGGGTTCGATTCTGGTCAAGGGCATGTACCTTGGTTGCGGGCACATCCCCGGTAGGGGGTGTGCAAGAGACAGCTGATCGATGATTCTCTCTGATCGATGGTTCTATCTCTCTATCCTTCTCTCTTCCTCTCTGTGAAAAATCAACAAAATAAAAATAATAACAACGTATTTGGGCCACTACATTAAAATCTGTGACCTAAAAAAAATAAATAAATAAAAATAAAAAAGGTTGAATGCATTTTGATGGTTGGAAAAAGGGACACTCTCTGTCTGGGACAGGGAAGAAAAAGATCAGTGATGACCAAAAAGGAGGAAAGATAAAGAACAATGTGTTAATAGAGTCACAAACCCAGGTTAAACCCCTGTTCTTCCACTCACTATCCAGGTGATTTGTTTTTATTTATAAAAGTAAAATTAACGTTTTGGGGGCATACAATTGCATTGGTTTTAACACATGGAACCACCACCACAACTGGGTGCAAAACCGTTCCATCACCTTCCAAAATTCTTCTATGTTGCTCCTTTGAAGTCAAACACCTCCTCACTCCAGCTGGACAATCACTGATTCATTCTTTCTTGACAGTTTTGCCTTTTCCTACATCCACACTTAACCTGAGTCACATTTCTTCACTCATAAAATTATTTCTATATATTATTTATATAGATATGCCTTACTTATATTATATATTATTTAAAATTATATTCATATATAAATATGTATTTATATGTAAAGATATGCCATCTTTATATTAAAATATTCAGTAATTTATGATGATCATTCGGCTGCTGTGGATTAAAAAAAAAACTGATATATAACAAGTGTTTCTTCTATGGTTTATATTTATAAACTAGAGGTCCGGTACATAGATTTGCACATTGAAAGGAAATTAATTAGTAGGTGGCCAGCGGGGTGGAACTGTGTGAGAGGGGCCAGACAAACCCTGGAGCCAACCTCTGGCAGTCCCTTCCCAGCCAGCAGCACCTGGGGTGGCGCCAAGGCTCGAAGGGTGCCTGCTGAGTAAGTGGAGTCCCTCTGGCAGGTACAGTCCCTCGGCCTGGCCTGCAGGAATTGGGTCAAAGCCAGCTGTCCGACACCCCCTGAGGGGTCCCAGAGTGCGAGAGGGCACTCTGCAAAGTTGCTGTCACTTGGCAGCTCCTCCGTTGAGCATCTGCCCGCGGGTGATCATTGCATATCACAGCTGGTCGCTTAGGCTTTTATATACATAGATGACTTTCTTTAAGTTGGTGGCTAATGACCAATTTTTGCAATTCTACATCTTGAAATTTCAGTCGCCTCCACAAGGATGCCTCCGCCTTGGATTTCTGCGTGCTGCCTTGATGTGCCTGTGACTCTGTTCCTACAAAGCTCTGAGCTCCAGGGTGTTCCATAATCTCTCCTTGTGGTTGTCCTTCCTCAGTTTACCACAGTGCAAAAGGCTGAGAGCCAAGTACAATCTTCTTCTCATTAGTCTTCGATGGGGGATGGGATCTGGGGGCGGCAAGCTTGTTCTGATACCTTGTTATTTATGAACATAGCTTGTCTCTGAATATCTAAAGTCAATACTACTGACACTGTTGGGTAAACAATTCAGCTAGAGTCGTCCAGCCTGGCTCCCACCTAGATAGGTGATCTAATATTAAAAAGCTCGCTGACTTGGCTCATAGGGTTCCTACAACAATAAATCACAAGATTTCTACACATAACCTTATATGGATTTTTTAATATATGTATTTTTTTTATTTCAGAGAGGAAAGGAGAGGAAGAGAGATAAAAACATCAATGATGAGAGAGAATCATTGACTGGCTGCCTGCTGCATGAAGGATCAAGCCTGCAATCTAGGCATGTGCCCTGACCGGGAATCAAACCATAACCTCCTGGTTTGATGCTCAACCACTGAGCCATGCAAACCAGGCCTTATATGGATTTTAACAAATGATCTGACAAAATCAATTATAATTCTCTTGTAGTATAACAGATTAGTTATAACTATAATTGTGTGAATAATTGGCTCCAAAAGTATTAATTAATTAATTAATTTATATCACCCTAAAATTAATTGATATCTCCCTAAAAGGCCTCTAGTGGTATACTACAGGGGTCTTAATTTGGTTCTATTTTACTTACACATTTTAATTAATGGCTAAAGACATAGAAGTGTAATTACCAAGTTTATAATGTCATAGTAGGAATAACTAAATATAATTTGTTAAAATCATATTTCAAAAGCTATCAACATAAATTAAATTCAATGGAACAAGGCAGATAAACTAATAAGATGAAATATAATCGGAAGGAAAATCAACAACACAAAGGGGAGAGACCTAGTCTGATTGATAGCAGTTCACAAAGTAAAATACGGGTATATTAGCAGACTACAAATTTAATATGGCATCAATGTGACATGCTTATTCAAAACAAAACAGCAAACTATTACATTGCTCTTTTCAGGTTCACTAGTAAACTCCATATTACCAATTCCAATAGTCAATTCTCCACCTCATTTTCACCTCCTAGCTCCTAGCAGCATTTTAACCAACGTGATCAGCCTCCTTTTTGTACCACTTCTCCTTTCCTGGCCTGACACTCCCTTGGTTCTCCTACCTCACTGGCTGCTGTCTCCAGCTTCCTTTAGTACTGATGATCCACATTTATGTTTCCAGTCCAAACCTTTCCATTGAAATCCAAACACATATGCATCTGCCTCACCATCACAGAAGCCCTCACTTTCACCTCCCTACCCAAATCTGCTTCTCCTATAGCCTTCCCCATCTCAGTAAACAGCAATTTTATCCTCCCAGTTGTTCAGGCCAAAGCTTTGAGTCATTAATCCCAATCTACCTCTTTTATTTTTTTCCATACCCTACATTCATTCCATCAGTAAATCCTTTTGGCTCTGCCTACAAAATACCTCCACAATCTGACCACTCTCACCACTTGCCCTGCTCCATCATCCCCCTCAGGATTGTGGCAATCATCTCCTAAGTAGTCTCCTTCCTTCCAAACTTGAAAACCTCAATCCCAAAATCTATTCTCAGTAATATAGCCAGATCCTTTTAAAGCTTGCATTCATTCAAAACTCATTCTAAGACTATTTGCTGAAATCCATCTAAATAAAACACGATTTTAAACTTGTTTTTATTTTAAAAATTATTGTATTTTACTTCTTAAATAATTTCCTAGTAAACCACAGTGCTTTTTGAGAAATGATATATGAAGTATTAGAAACTACTTATGCAAATGAACTTTAAGTTTTTTTCTAAAATTTAATTAGGAATATTGCCTTGCATTTCATTGAGTTTCTTTTATTATTCATAAAAATTAGTTTAAAAGGACTGCATTCTTTTATATGTACATAGGGCATAACTAAGACTTAGAAAAACAGCAAGTGCATCAAACACAACAGATCACCTGGATTTAGCATGCAAGGAATATAAACATTTTTCAAATACAAATATTGTACTGAGCCCTAGCCAGTTTGGGTCAGTGGATAGAGCCTCGGCCTGCAGACCAAAGGGTTCTAGGTTCAAGTCCGGTCAAGGGCATGTATCTTGGTTGCAGGCTCCTCACCGGTCCCAGGCCCTGGTTGAGGCACGTGCAGGAGGCAACTAATCAATGTGCTTCTCTCACATCCATATTTCTATGTCTTCCCCTCTTTCTGCCACTCCATCTAAAATCAATGGAAAAATATCCTTAAGGAGGGATTAAAGAAAACACAAATACTCACTGGTTTTTCAGATTAAGTCAGTTATGAAACTAATGATAAGCAAAGTCAACAGATTTATTCACATAGTAAAGTAAGTACAAAATTAAGGATTTTTAAAAGCTTGTTAGTTTCCATCTAATTGGATGAGATTAGCACAATGTTTTGTTTTTACCTTCTGGTGGCCTGTTGGATGTTGCCACAACGACGACCCCATTTTTGAACAGATTTTCAAAAAGCTGTTTCAGAATCATGGCATCAGCAATGTCAGTGACCTATGGACAACAGCACATTTGTTTTATTTTAATTTCACTTCTGCTCTAACAAATTTGCTAAAGACTTTTTTTTTTTAAGGATGAAAGTGAGTTTCAAGAGAAAAATTCTAATCATCATCGTGAAGAAAAGAGTGGATAATTAAAAGCATGAAAAACTGTATAGCAGTCTTTTAACTTTTCTATTTTGCAAGCCTATCGTTTCTACACAAATTGTCAAATGGTTCTTTATTAACTTCTTTTACAGAACTACAGGTGGAAAGCATAGATAATTGTCCTATACATTTACGAAATCTAATTAATTAGAACTAACAAGACCAACTCCCTTTTCCTATGTCCATCACAGCCCCCTTCTCCAAAAAAATAAAAATAAAAAAGAGAGAGACATACACAAGCTGTTTGAGATTTCTAGTACCTTTGTGGCAAAGGTCTCTCAAAAGGTGCCTTTAAATGGTCACGGAACTTTAGAAATAAGGACAAGTAGCCAGTGAGACATAATCAGCTGCTGTTGGAAATAGAATGATATGACATAGATACTATTGTGCAATTGTTGCACAAAACAATTCAACAGATGGCCCATCACAAAAATAAGCAATTTCATTGTTCTTTTTAAGTGCCTTCTATTACTGTCCATGAATAATCAAAAGGCACTGCAGTCACTTCCAGCACAGCCAGCCTCTCTGCTAACCTTCATAAACACAAATATTCCTTCTAGAAAAAAAATTTTTTTAAACAATTTATAAGAATGGTTAATACAGTACAAAAAAAAACTGAAAAAAACAAAAAGTGCAGAATGCATATAAAACTAATCTAAGTACAGAAATACATGTAACTAATGGTCTTTTTAAAAATTGCTTTTTAATCCACTGTTAACAAATAAGCTTAATAATGACTTTTTTAAAGCTTTTAAAAATCACATAGAAATACAGAAATTAAGGAGGAAAGGAAGTTGACTTAAAAAAATAAGTGTATAGGGGACGCTGATATTAATGATCATACCTTCCCTTTTGAATATAACATGGGTTTTAGATACTCTTGATTGTAGAAATGTTATGATCTTTCTTTAATACCACACTTTAGATAATCTCACTAAAACTTGTTTCATGTTCATAAAATATATCACACGATATATATCAATATGTATATGTTATTTTTAAATCATGTTAGAGCACATAGAAACTAATGGAATTCTTTCAAATTAGATCAAAATACTAAAACTGAACAATTAACTGGTTCCCACACAGCTAACAACAACCTGGCCTGGACAGGTGCCAATCACTTTCTCTTTACAGCTGGTATCTTACTCAAAAGTTTAATTCTTTCCTTTCCACCTGAGCAAAACAAAACAAGACCAGGATATGGGGATGCAAAGATCTTTCTTTTCTGTCTCAAACTGTAACTTTAAAATATTAACCAAAAACCTACTGATGGTTCTTACATTAAAAGACTTCAGGAACTTACAAAGTGGTGATTAAAATGAAAAGGAAAGTGGTACTGATATTAATTAATTTGGAGCTTAGGATCACTGTCAAATTTTGCTTCCGCAAAAACACTCACAGAGAAGGCCCTTTTCAAAGGCTTAAATACCAGTGGCATTTCTGATGAGAGGACAGAACAAGCTAGCAAATTTTAGAAGCAACTGCACGTTTAAATTGGATTCCCACTACACCGACTTTTAAAAAGAATACCAATGAAAAGTTACCCAATTTTAGGGAATAAAAATCGTCACCTGCCTATCTCACTGGTGTTTTTGAAAAAATTTAAAATAACTTTTGATTCGGAAAAACAAAAGGACACATAGCTTATAACACTGTGCAAAGATTTCAATGGGAGGCTGGAAAAAGCAAACAATAAAGATCTGTGGTTGAATTATCATTTGTTGTTTCTGTATTTCAGTGTTTTTGCTGAATCGTAGTAAATTTACTTGGAGAAGGCTGTAGCTAATTAAGAAAGCAGGAGTGACTTGGTGTAGCCGGGTGCCAATGTGTACTCTTTTGATCTTGTCCCCTTTCTTGTTCAGCTTTGCTGGGGAACAGTAATTTTACAGTATAAGTGAACAGAAGACAACTGGCCACACATTCTTGAAGAGCAGGCTTTTTCAGCACCCAGCATTTCATTACTACCAGGAACAAAAGAGAAGGCTACAGATTACCAATAAGGGTAGTCTGCTAATACAGAGAATGGAGACATTTCATTAGCATTAAAGAGGAAAGATTTTTTATGACCTAGAGTTGCTTTCCATTACGATTCACTTTAAGTAAAAAAAAAGGGGGGGGGCGGGGAATCTAACAGTTAATTTACATGTGTAAGTGCTTGAGTCCCAGTCAATCCTCTGATTGGTACAGTGCCATGTAATGACTGACAAACATAAGCATGCATTATCAGTAATTAGTATTAGCACAAAAATAAGTACCTATTTTTTATTAACAGTTTTTAATAGCTTTCCTGTTTTATAAAAACGGTCAAAACTATTTTTAAAATGATATTGACAGCGATAGAGGAGAATTTTGCATGATATTCTGCTCATCAGAAATCTTTTTAAAAAAAACATATTAGTAAAACATCTATCCAGGGTCCCAAAAGATAGGAAGAAATAACATGTTTAAGAATCGCTTTCCTCTAGTATTTTGATATCTTCAGAATTATTTTTCAGAAACAGTTTAATAAGAAATATAGTCAATCAGTTCATTAAAAAGTCCCTAAAGAAAATCTTAAAGAAAACCTATTCTTTTATGTCAGCAACTAAAACACAAAAAACAATCTATGTAGACAAATTCTCAAACAAAATAAAAATAGTGTAACTGATACCACAGGTAAAGATGACCAAACTAATGAGGAATATATTCTCTAGATGCAATCTGAATGTTATCATAACATAGTCTTTAAAATGCCTTAAATTCAAGAACATAAAAAAGAAAGAATATATTCTTGTTTTTAAGCAGCAGTAATTCATTCATCTTTCCATAAAATAAATATTACATTAAATAACACCAACTAAAGGTTGATAATAACTAGTTAAAAATCAAGACTACTAATGGGATTCAATTTTAAAAGCGAAGTGGTATTTGTAGATATACTGTCATTAAGATTAAAGTGGCTAAAAAATATTTTCTAGTAAATCAGTAATGCATTGTACTAGGTTTAATAATCTTAAGGATAATTTTTAGGTTCTAACTTTAAAAATATCTACTAAAAGCCCACCCAGCTCTAGATCTATACATTTAAAAACATAATAGAAGATATCATATACCAAGGAGAACATATTATATAGCTGTTACAACCAGTGACTAAGGATACAGATGATGGATTCAAACTGAGTTTCCAGCTGTTTAACCTTGAACAAGTTACTTAATCTCTCTGATCCATAATTTCCTCACCAATGCAATATAAAAATTGTTATGATACATATAGTAAATTCTCAATAAATGGTACCTATGACTATTACCTATGAATGGTATGTATGCTAGTACAATTCCTTATTATTTATGTATAGTTATATAGAATTTTAGCTATAAAAGTAATGATATAGAGCACAATAATAACATAGGCACAAAGTACAAATTTCATAGTAGCTAATATTACAGAACATACATAATAAAATGTAAACATTCTAATAAATAGATGGGCATTGTCTCAAACAGATATTCATAGAAGATGGCTTTTAATTAGTAAGTAAACAAACATGGAAAAAATTCAACCATTACTACTTAAAGGAATATGCATTAAAACAATGAGAAACTTGTTAAATTAGACAAGAGCATTAAGATAATTCAAAACATTGACAGGAAAAAAATGTGAGTTGTAACAATATACAATATAAGGAAAGTGAGACTTAGTTGGGGGGTCTACTTCAATATGCCAATCATTTCTCTGATTGTTTAAAATGTACATTTTTAAGTTAATGATTTGTAGATACTATGAAATTCTAATGCTTTGCATTCCTCATCTATATGATGAAGATAGTAATAATAACTATTTTACAGAATTAAATGAAGTAAGGATATAAACATACTTTGTAAGCCAAAAATCATTTAACAAAGGATGGATATTAATATACTTAATTTTTTTTTAACTTCAGTACCTTAATCAAAAATTTGTGCCAATTCAATTTTTTTTAGAGTTAATTTAGGAGACTCATCATGATAAAACATGTGAGATGGCCTTCAGTGACTCATCATTGACTTGTGTTGCTGAAGGCAGAAGGCTACATTGCGAACTACACGATGCCCTTCTCTTCCTGAAATAGTACATTGGTGTACTTAGTATACCTCTGCAGAGTAGCAGGGGAATATCTCTTTTCCGTAAGCCTTTCTTTTGAAAACCTCTGTACAAAGGGTAGATGCCAGGCTGTCTTAAAAATGACTAAAGGGAGAAAGAAGTGAAGATTCTTCTTCCCCAGGTGGTTCAGTGTAACACCACGCATAGCTAAAATTCCCCTTTCTCCTCTATTGCAAATCAAGATTGCTGTTAGCTATGTGGTCTGAGTTGCCTCATTTGGGATAAAGGTATCCTGGCTACAACATATTTCCACCATCCCAAGTTTCTAGCACAAAATAACTTACTACCAATATAAATACATAATTTCAGAGAATCTTAAAACTGAAAGAAACTTTAAAATTGAACTAGAGCAATTCCCTTACTTCATCAATTATGAAAGGAGTTGTGTGAATCACCCAGTGTCTACCAAAGAGTAGGCACATGCGAATGTTAGCTTCAGACCTTGAGAATGTCTATGAGCCTTCATTCTAGGCAATCAGACACAGGAGTTTCTGCACTCAGCTCCAGAAATATTTTTCAAAAGCTTTGGTGTGAAGCTCTATTTTTAAGTTTATATTCAGTACTTGTGGATCTTCCTGTTTTCATTCCAATCATCAGTTGTTCTTATGAAAAGCATTTATAGAAAAACCAACTACAGTATTATGCTTCAGAACTACTAAAGAAAGAAGTTTAATAAAGAGAAAGTAATTCTTAGTCTAAAATATTGATTATTATTACTACTACTCTGACTTCTACTACTACCCTGGGATGGCATAGGATACATAATAAGCATAAGACTTGGTTTTGCCTTTATCCCATATTTGCTTTCATCTATAATAATAAAAGCATAATATGCTAATTAACTAGACGTCCTTCCAGACATCCTTCTGGACAAAGCCGGAGCTGCGAGGGAAGCCTGGGTCCTGGGTGCCTGTTGGTAGCCAGAGGGAAGCCCATGTCCCAGGTGCCAGAAAGAAGCCAGTGCCGGCAGCCAGGAGAAGGAAGACCTACTCTTGCATGAATTTCATGCATCAGACCTCTAGTAAGAAATGAAGATCAGGAAATAACTAACTGCCAATTTAGTCACAATGTCAAAGAATCCTAAAACTAGAAGAATTTTAAAAGTTTAACTAAGACAATTCTCTCCCTTCATCATATGTAAGTTGTGAGATATATGAACCAAATAAAAACATTTTTAATAAAACCTCAAACACCTTTAAAGACATTGTAATCAATACCTTATCTCCATCATGGTGTGGGGAGAGGAATGTGGATTCACTGACTAGAGTATCAGAGTGGGCAAACTTTTCTTATAAAAGTCTGAACAGTGAATATTTTAGGCTTTGCAAGCCACAAATGGGCTGTTTTCAACTTTCTTTTTCTTTTGAAATAATCCTTTAAAAATATAAAAACTGAAAAAATCCAAGATGGCTGCTCGGGTAGACATCTAGCCGCGGCAGCACACAACAATTTCAATGGAATACAACTAAAATGTAGAGTGGACATTGCCCAGAGCTACAGGTAGTCGACTGACTGAAATTTCTACAACAAGAAGGAAAGAGAAAACCAGAAAGAAAATCAGAGGAGCTGAAAAAAAGCCTAAGGTACGGAGACATGCTGCGCGCGCCTGCCTGCCCGCCCCGCGCTGCGCGCGCCTGCCCGCCCGCACTCGCGCACGAGAGGTCGCAGCCGGAGAGGAGGAGAGGGTGGGGAGCCGCCTTTCCTTCCCTAGCAGGAAGGAAATAAAACCCCCAGCCTGGGCTGAACCCCCGAACCGGCAGCGCTGAGCTCCCCCGAACCGGCAGCGCTGAGCCCCAGTTATGGGCCAGACCCTGGGGACCCAGGCTCCAGTGGGAGGAGACGGGGCCGTGAGGCGGAAAAACGGCGAAAGGCAGGGCCCCGAGAGTCGCGCGCAATGCGCGCAGAGGACTGAATGTTGACTCTGATGCTGGGTTGCCCTAGCCGGAAGAAACAAGGCCTCCGGCGGCGCTGAGCCTCAGTCCGGACTGCTCCGAACCCCAGTTCTGGGCCGATCCCTGGGGACCCAGGCTCAGGCAGAGGGAGACGGGGCTGTGAGGTGGAGTCCGGGAAGAGCGGCGAAAGGCCGGGCCCCCGGGACTCTCGCAAACTGCACGCAGAGGACAGTCTATGGGACTCGCGCAAACTGTGCGCAGAGGACAGTCTGTGGGACTCGCGCAAACTGCGCGCAGAGGACAGTCTGTTGACTCTGATGCTGGACTTCCCTAGCGGGAAGGAGAAAAAAAAAGCTCTAGGCTGGGGGAACGCGAAAGGGAGCGGAAGCCCCTGCCGGACTCCAGCCAACCAGGCACCAGCAAGGAGGCGGGCCACGGGGACCCTGGGGGCGTGGGTGCCCCTGAGCCTTTGACCACTGAGCTCGGGCAATGGAGCCAAGGCCGGGGGCTGCTTCCTGGGCGGCGCCGTCCCGGCAACAGGCTGAAGCAGCACAGGAGCCTGCGGAGAACAAAGGGGTGCCACAGGCCAACCTGCTGAGCTCCCAGGACAAGGAGGAAGAAACCAAAGAAGTTCTCAATGTGAAGAAATCAAGTGAGAGCAAAAAATAGTAAAATTACTTAAGAAAGAATACAAAGATCTTGAAAAATCAAAGACTAAGTCAGAACTCAACTCACCAGCCAACATTGCAACATAAATGCGTTTTAAAAAGAAAAAAAAAGGACAGAATGTTGGAACAGCGACGGCCAGGCCTAGAGTGGCCAGGCACAAGGCAGTGGCAGCCAGACCCGGAGCAGCAACGGCCAGGCCCCAGAACAATAGCAGCCAGAAGCAGAGCATCAACAGCCAGCACTGGAGTAGCCAGACCTGGGGCAGTGGCAGCCAGGCATGAGGCGGAGGCGGCCAAGCCCAGGGTGGCCAGTCCAGGAACACCCAGACCCGGAGTGGCCGGGCCCGAAGAAGCCAGGCCCAGAGCAGCCGGGGTGGGAGCAGCCAGACCCAGAACAGCAGTAGCCAAGCCCAGAGCATCCAGGTCGGGAGTGGCCAGGCTCGGAGCGGCCGGGCCCGGGGCAGCCGGGTCAGGTGCGGCCAGGCCCGGAGCAGCAGCTGCCAGGCTGGGAGCGGCCAGGCCCGGGGGAGCAGGCGGGGCTGGTGCGGCCAGGCCCGGAGCAGCGGCTGCCAGGCTGGGAGCGGCCAGGCCCGGGGGAGCAGGCGGGGCTGGTGCGGCCAGGCCCGGAGCAGCGGCTGCCAGGCTGGGAGCGGCCAGGCCCGGGGGAGCAGGCGGGGCTGGTGCGGCCAGGCCCGGAGCAGCGGCTGCCAGGCTGGGAGCGGCCAGGCCCGGGGGAGCAGGCGGGGCTGGTGCGGCCAGGCCCGGAGCAGCGGCTGCCAGGCTGGGAGCGGCCAGGCCCGGGGGAGCAGCCGGGGCTGGTGCGGCCAGGCCCGGAGCAGCGGCTGCCAGGCTGGGAGCGGCCAGGCCCGGGGGAGCAGGCGGGGCTGGTGCGGCCAGGCCCGGAGCAGCGGCTGCCAGGCTGGGAGCGGCCAGGCCCGGGGGAGCAGCCGGGTCGGGTGCGGCCAGGCCCGGAGCAGCGGCGGCCAGGCTGGGAGCGGCCAGGCCCGGAGCAGCAGCAGCCAAGTCCAGAGCAACTAGGTTGGGAGCGGCAGTGACCAGACTCGGAGCAGCTGGTTGTGGAATGAACCAGAGCAACAGAGGTCAGGCCCTGAGCAGCCAGGCCCAGAACAGCTCGCTCCTTGCCTGCCCCTGCCCCACGGCTGCTTCTCAGACATGGATGGAAACTTTCGTGGGAACTTGAGTGTCTGCTGAATCAAGTGATGAAGGCTTAGATCTGGATGTGTTGAGTTAGTTTAGGATTGGGGTGTTGATCTGTGAGTGCCTTGGGTGGGGCCTGGATGAGGCGGGTTGACCTAGTGGGAAATGTCTTTTGTGTGAAGTGTATCATTGGGCATGTGGAGGTATTATTGATATGAGAAAATGCTAAGTAACTGATTTACTATCTGAAAAGGGATTTACTATTGGGGAAATTGAGGGAAGAAGAGACTGAACATAAACTGCACCTATGGATGAGGACAATGGGGGATGGGGGGGGACGGAGGGTGGGGTGGGAACCTGGTGGAGGGGGGAAGAAATGAGGAACCTTTGTAATAATATGAACAATAAAGATTGCTAAAAAAAAAAAAAAAAAAAAAAAAAAAAAATATATATATATAAAAACTATTCTTTTCTCACTGGCCATTTAAAAGCTGATGGCCATGTTTGCCTTCAGCAAGCTAAGGTAGGTATGGCTGATCCCTGAACCAGAGAGTAATATTAAAAGATATAAGAGATAATTCAAACCAATTTATAAAACAATGACAAATTCAGGAACAGACTGTAAATCTTCACACTTTATTTAGTATTCCATTCTACATCAAGAAAGCATTTCTTTCTTACCTGAAATTCATCGAAACATAAGAGACATGCTTCTTCGCTGATTTCTTCAGCTATAGGAGCTATTGGATCATATGATTTAGCCATGAATCCTGCTTTCCTTTTTGGCAAACTCTGCTTAAGGCGGTGTATTCCTTAAACCGATGAAATTAAATATAAAATCAAATTATTAATAGTATATTTCAGACAACTATAAAGTATTTTTACATCTAAATAAATGAAACTTTAGTGTAAACATCAGATTAAAGTCCATATGCTGTATAATCATATATAACCACAAGTGTGATCATTGAAATTGGTGGCATTTTCTCTACCTCAAAATAAATTGCTCACATATTATAAAGGATACTTTATAACCATTCTATCTCTATTCTTCACTCACTTTGGAGATGACAAAGTGATAGACTAGATGACTAGATGGTAATTAGATGGACCAAAAAATCAGTCTTAGTCCTGAGAATTTCAGGGATGCACAGAGGAGACAGTCCTGCCCTATGTCTAGCATATCTAATCATAGTGTTCTTATCTCCAGCCTGATATACTGGAGCCAGCCCCATTTCATGTATTGAATGTGTACTACATGCTGAAAGTATTCTAAGAAAAACACAATGTTCCTGCCCTGGAGAGGAACGTTGCAAAAATGCTGATAGACAATGCAAAAATGAAATAATGTAAGAATACCGACAAAGCAATAAAGCATACATACAAGTACACACTGCATGCCTACATGCTAAGGTAGCATAGTGGAAATGATCTAATCAAGAATAACTTCCTTCTTAATTAGATTTATTGGAGTGGCATTACTCAATAACATTATTTAAAATTCAAGTGTACAATTCTATAGTACATCACCTGTACATTGCATAGTATACTCCCCACCCAAAGTCTAGTCCCCTTCCATCACCATGTATTTGACACTCTTTAACTTCTTCGACCTCACCCTACCCACCTTCCCCTTATACTATTGGCTGTCTATGAGTTTGCTTTCTTTGTTCCTTTGTGGCTTTCTGTTTTATATTCCACATATGGTTCTTGTCCTTCTCCATGTGACTTATTTTGCTCAGTGTGATACTGCAGTCAAGATCCAACCATGTTGCACAAATGGCAATGTTTCATCTTTTCTTATGGCTGAACTGTAAAGAATAACTTTTTCAAAAGAATAACTTTTTTAACATTTCTTATTGATCCTTAGCAGAAAGAGAAAATGCCTAACTTTCATATAGTAACCTCTGTTCTCATATTTGGAAGTACTGATTTATCTTTAGGACCAACTCTGGGCACATTACTATTGTTTCAATATAGCACAAAACAAAATCTTACATTAAGCAAAAATATATTTTTTTAATTTTTATTAAATTATTATCTGTGTACATATCTTACCATTGCCCCCTTCCTCCTCCCATACATACCCTCCCTCTCCAGAGTTTTGTGTCCATTGGTTGTACTTATATGCATGTAAACAAGTCCTTCGGTTGATCTATTATCTCTCTAAGATCTCCCTCCCCTCCCCACTGTAATTTGACAGTCTGCTTGTTGCTTTACTGTCTCTATATCTATCTTTTGGTTCATCGGTTTAAAAATATATTTTTAAGTATTAAAAACTGCAGAATTTTAAAAGGCAAGGAAAATTATTTTGTAGTGTTTGCCCCCTTAAAAACCGACTGCTTTTCCCAGATAGTTAACTTACTTTTGTGAACATCTAGCATGAAACCATGAAAATGAACCCGTTTTTTCCTCTTCATTTCCACATAAGTATAAAACATGTCCATCACCATTGTTTTCCCTGTACCTTAAAAAACAAAAAAAGGATACTATTAAACAGTGTTACTGATTGCTCTAATGATTGTTCATTAGCTTTAGGATAATGAAAACACACTCTCCTACTGGCAAGATTAAGACTATGTTACGTTTTTTTAAAAGAAATGTTTATTTTTTATGTTAAACCAGCAAAAAATAAAATATTATTATTCTTTTTTGTTAAAATCCTGTTTTTAGGAAATATTATTAAATATTAGTTAATATTACAGGGGCTATTTGCCCCTGAAAACTATGTTTATAAACTGGCATAATTTATAAATTATTCTTTCTTCAGTTTCTCTTCTAAAACATACCAATATGAATAAAATACATTCATTATATAAATATTTATTGGGCCATTACTAAGTGTGAGAAACTATCTTAGGCACTATGGGAAAATTCAAACATGAAAAATAAGAAAATAAAGATTAGTAGCTAACATAAATACTGAAAAAAAAATAGATGTAGATTAGAGCTGGATTATTGCTAAGTATATACTACTTTTTCAAAAATCTGAGAATACAGGTCCTGTAAAATGAGGTCTACTTGAAGAAATTCTGATAGTCAACTCTTATAATTAAGTTATGTAATTTTCAACACTCTGGAACTTTTCATCACTATGATTGCATTAATAATTGAGAGTCAATGGCCTGGGCCTTTAACGCAGACATGCACAGAAAGCCTATTCCCTCGCAGAAAGGCAGAGCTCAAGCTTGGTTCATACCAAGCATTCCTTGCAGGCCAAGCCCAGGGATGCTGGCCCTATCTCTTATCCTTCTGAGTTCTCCATTCCTAAGAGCTGCAGCTCAGGAAGTTCTCCTCCTAAGAGCTGCAGCTCAGGAAGTGAGATCTGAGTCTTAAGTGAGAGAGAGGGCACGGTGGGTGGGGAGTAAGATGGGGAGCAGGGAGGGGTCTCCATTCCATAGATAACTTTGGGTCCATGCTGTTTGAATTGCCAGAAAGTTTTTGTATATGAAAATACAATTTGTTAAAGAGATTTTTTTAAAAAAATATTTTTATTGATTTCAGAGAGGAAAGAAGAGGGAGACAGATAGAAATATCAATAATGAGAGAGAATCATTGGTGGGCTGCCTCCTACAAGCCTTGGGCATGTGCCCTGACCTTCTGGCTCATAAGTCAACATTCAACCACAGAGCCACATCAGCTGGGCTGTCAAAGAGATTTTTAACGAAGAGATCATTCAAACTGAAAAGTAATTCTTTGCAAAAGTATCCAGTACAATATCTCTTGATATAGTGAGTGGCAGCAGATTTTAAGTCATTATATTTACCTAACAGAGTAAATCAATAAAGTTTCAAATCCTGCTGTATAAAGCATAGTATACTGACAGGTCCAGAAAAAAGTCATGAATTATCTAACCACAATGCAAACAACCTGTATTTGAAGTGACTTTTGTGTTAACTCTAAAAAATGGATTTAAAATATAATGTGACCATCATATAAAAGGTTTCTGAAGATAAAAGAAACATAAAAGGAAAGGACAATAGATTAGGCTACGTGCAATTCAACTTTCTAAATATAAAATTCACCATAAATAAAAATTATTGTCTTTATTTATTTAATCAATATATTTTTACTGAATGCCCACTATGTGTGAGGTCCTATTCTAGGTGGTTAGGGTATCACAATGAACAAACTTCACAAAAATCCATGCCCTTATGGAATTTGGTAGTTAAACCTTATATATCTTTTCAGATATAAAGAGCTCTTACAAACTACAATGAACTTTTTGTCTTAAAGCTCTCCCTTCTGGAAATTTCTCTACTTAGTATGATTCTATGATGAGAGTATCAATCACAAGGTGGGACAATAAAAATACCCCACTAACCTACTCACTGTGATTGGCCCTGCCCTGGGCATATGACCCAGTTAGGTAATGTTCTATGGGAGGAGTTAATATGGATTCCAAGAATAAGAATCATCCCTTCTCCTTTTAAGAGAGCAGCCTAGAAGATTCCAGGAGCCTTCTTTCCTATAACATCAAAAAATTCTTACCAAGCATGAAGCCAACAATAGAAAACCAGAACCAAGCAATGAAGAAGGGAAAAGGAAGGAGAAAGAGAGATCCCTAAGATATTATTTAATCTCTCCTCTAATGAGCTGAATCAGACCATTCCTTGATTTCGCAATTAAACCAGCCATTAAATTCCTCCCCTGGTTCAGCTACTTCAATGGACTCGCCTCCCCCCACTCCAAGGAAAGAGGACTGAGCAATACTGAGTTAACAAGGGGATGGGGTCCAGGGAAAGATGATCAAGTGCAAAGGACACAAATAACACAAAAAATATATAAATAGCTTTAAACACATTTTTTAAAGTTTAACTCCATCAGAAATATAAAAAATACAAATTAAAACACCAATGATATGCCAGTTTTATGTTGGTGAGGACATGGGGGAATGCAAGTAAATCACCTAAGTCTCACTAAATTGGATTAAGAAACTTCAGAATAATAGGAGTCCATCAACATAGGTCAAAATTTCAAGGCAAAGCACCAGAGTGAAGGAAGCTATATAATGAAAAGAGCTCCTGAAACCAACATGTGAGTACTCTTGAGTCTTTGGCTGAAGACTAGCTACTCCTATGTAGGGTGATATACTCCATGATGTGAGGCAAAGAATGGCCATCAGGAAACTATAAGATAAACAATTTCCAGTTGTTGTATGTATCATATCTCTGGAAATTATGGACAACATAAGGGATTCTTAGAAAAATAGAATTGTTCAGTATCTTGATTATGATGGTATATATATATATATATATATATATATATATATATATATAGTTTCACACAGGTGATAAATTGTACAGATTGAACACAAGTAAAATTGGAGAGATTTGAATAAGATCCATGAACTATATTGATGTCAATATCCTGGTTGTGATATTTATATTATAGTTTTGCAAAATGTTACCTTTCAGGGCAATAAAATAGAAAATACCAAAATATATCACATGTAAGCATAAGTTTTCTTTCATGGAACTATTTTTCAGGCGTGTGGTGGTGGTGGTGGTGGTGTGTGTGTGTGTGTGTGTGTGTGCGCGCGCGCTTCTGCACTCTGGTGCTTTGCCTTGAAATGTACACTCAGTGAGTTAGGGCATAAAATATAGTTCTTACTCTGGATCAGGTTCAAAAATGTTTCAAAGCCATTGCAATAGTTTGTAAACTTAGGGTGAACAAAGGCTGCATCTGCTTTTATTCACAATTATACCTCCGGAAACAACACAAGGCAGATGCTCAATAAACATTTGTCATGTGAATGGAAGAGTGAGGACAAGAGTTGTGGGGGGAAAGGAGAGAAGAAATCTACAACTTCACAATTTTACCAACTTCACAATTTGCTTTAGTCTCTACAGAATCATAAATAAAACTTTGTATATTTCTTAAGAGGAGATTCTTGTTAGGGGACTAATTTGTAAAATCTAAAACTCTTTTATGTTCTAACTTTCATAGTTAGGAAAACAAAAATGACTACTTGCACCCATGGTGTTCTTTTCACAACCTGCACCCTGCACCCATGGTGTTCTTTTCACAACCAACCCCCTGCAGAAGGAGCTGTAAGTATGTAGGAAGCCTCCATCATTGCTTCCGAGTCCAGCAGAATTTTGCTTCCCAACTCCTAACCTTTGGTGAAATTATCAATAAGAAATAGGTGAGGCTAAACCAAGAGTCAGCAGAAAAATGACTAATAAACAAAAATGAACTTTTATTATCTCCCCATATACCAGAGAAATCATTAAGTGCAGTCTGTTAGCCAGAAACAGGAGCCTTGTTGTAAGAAAGCCTGCTGAAGGGTAAGAATGAAGCCACAAGAAACTACTGCAGCTTATGGTCTCTGTATGGTTTGAGCTAAGCATTTTATTAATGAATATGTTTTGTTTCAAGATTAAACCATGATGATAATCCCTTCAATTATAGCAACTCCACTGGGGTTCCCTGGATTGGGGGGTCTACCTGAAGCAATCATTTCACCATGTCTATGAAGAAAGGGAGTACAGTTGAGCAGGCATGACAGAGGGCAAGCCCAGCACAGCAGGAAGGAGTGGGAAGGGGGCACTAGGCAGACACCCTCTTTCCCATCACTTCTGAAAATGTAAACCTGTTTCCCGAGTCTGAAAAAGGAAACTAAAGAATAAGAGCTTGTGAAGGCTCTGGGAGGCTTTTCTCCCAGCCAGAAAATCTGACCTGTCCTTGATTACCTATTCTGTAACTATTCTAAACTAAACTGAGTATAGACACTGAAATGTTCATCTCACTTCCCGTTTCATAACTTCTTTCTCTTTTCCTCTTTATATTATAAAAATGTTCCTACCTGAAGGTTGCACCATACCCAGCCTATCTGAACATCCTATTTTATCACATTTTTTTCTGATTCTTTCAAGCATTCAGATGATTTATGGTTTTGTACTCCCCTTCAATCAATTAGAATATGGCTGTGTTTTGCAAACTAAAAATCCAACAACTTTCATGAGTTTTTTAAGTCCTTTGCAGAAGTAGAAGTTGTGCTTTACTAACCATCTCCATTTATGGAGAAGTAGCTAACATACCAAGAGAAACAAAGATACTGGTCTTAGCAATGACTGATAGTGAAAGTGAGGGTATAGGAAGGACATGTTCTCCAAAGAGACAAAGAATGAGCTCTGACAACAGGCTGAAACCTGCTGGCAGTGCCCAAAGGTACTGACTGATATGTGACACTGAGCATGCACCTGATATAAAATGCTTTGTAACTACAAAGGAAGCATACCTTGATCTAAAAAATACCAATTAGATAATTAACTAAGAGAACAATAGTTTGAGCTTCCTATACTTTTTTTTAACCGTAAGTTTCAAGAACTTGATGAATTTTAGGGGCAATTTGTACCATTCACATTTGTGAACTAATTTTTTGTTAGGTGCACTAAATCTGTAAATGCAAAATAGGAATTTAGCAGCATTTGTAAACAAATCAGAGAAAAAGAAGAACCCTTTTAAAGATAAAAAGCTAAACCCTTAAAGTTTTATATTTAAGGTACTATAAATACTTATTCAACTATTTTATTTCTTGTCCTAAATATATTACTAACTTCTGCCATCACTCCTTAATGCAAATTTATTATGGCTACAAGGAAACCTGAAGCATGTTTATCAGTCTAGGACAGTGGTCAGCAAACTCATTAGTCAACAGAGCCAAATATCAACAGTACAAAGATTGAAATTTTCTTTTGAAAACCAAATTTTTTAAACAACTTCTTCTAACACCACTTCTTCAAAATAGACTCACCCAAGCCGTGGCATTTTGTGGAAGAGCCACATTCAAGGGGCCAAAGAGCCACAATGTGGCTTGCAAGACGCAATTTGCCAACCACGGATCTAGGACCAAAACTGATCCATTACATGTAAATGGAAATTTTTAGTATCCCACTATAAGAAATGAGTGGCAAGCAACAAAGCCAGGGAAAGTAAGAGCCACCTTCGTAACATCAGTGAATGTGGGTAACCAAGGAGAAGTTTAGGAAGAATTTGTTTGAAGGAAATGGAAAGCAGAAAACAGATTGTTTCAGCAAGACATTTCAGCAAAACAGATGAAGTCAGAGAAGAAGCAAGACATTAGTTGATTAGGAAAATCTATAAAGTTAATATAACAGTTAATAAATTTCCCCCCCCAAAAAAATGTGAGTCTTTGTGCCCAGTGTATAGAAATGGAAGACCAAGCCCTAGCTGATTTGGTTCATTGGATAGAGCCTTGGCCAATGGACTGAAGGGTCATGGGTTGGATTCTGGTCAAGGGCATATACCTTTCTGTAGCAGGCTTAGATCCCAGGTTGGGGTGGGTGCAGGAGGCAATCAATTGATGTTTCTCTCTGTGTCTCTCTCCCTCCCTTCCACTCTCTCTAAAAATCAGTGGGAAAATATCCTTGGGTAAGAATTAACAATAACAACAAAACAAAGAAATGAGAGACCAAGGAAGTATTACCACTTGTGCATTAAGAGTATCTACTAATAAATTAAAGATAAGGGTTTACATTATGAGTAGAAACATTAGTGGAAAGTAAAAGTGAGAAAGAAGAGCTTTTTTAAAAAGTACATCCTCAGCTGAGCCAAATAGCAATGAGCAACAGGATTCTGAATTATCTAATAACCTATCTATAGATGATTTCCTTCCCCGATATCAACTCGCTTTATTCATTGAATAATGTTTGCACCCTAACATGCTAACTGACACTGCCTTACACTACAGGCACACCCTCTGAGAAGTAAAAGTGCAAACTAAGATGCCTACCCTTCCCTCCCCCAATTTTACCTCACCTCATCCTACTCCCTTGCTGGTAGTGAACTGAAGGATTGAAGAACTGAAGGATGGAAATGGAAGTTATCGCTGAGTAAAAGCTGGGAAACTTTCTGTTTGTGCCACCCAAAACTTGTTTTAACACACTTACCAACATCTCCATAAACATAGAGGCCCTTTGGAGGTTTGTTCCTTGAAAAAAGCTGCAAATTAAGAACAAATTATAAATCTCTAACATGGAAATCATTAAATATCATCATATACATAGTGTTCCTAACTGTGCTATATATACGCGGCTAAAATGGACTGTTATGCACAATAAGTAAAATAAAAACTAGATGTAAAGGGCTGGAAAGCCTAAGTCAGGTTTCAATACAGGAGGCAAAATGCATAGTGGTCCCGAGCAGGGGCTCTGAAGTCATGCAAGTTTACATCCCTAAACGATCTGCTAGCCAGGTGATCTTCCCCCTCTTTCCCAACGAGCTCTCCAAACAATGGCAGCCTGGCTCATTCTCAGCAAGCAACAGATTAGAGTTTTTCTGGAAAAAACTAAATGATATCCAACCTTATTTGCTGCCCTAAGCCTGTCCTGCCTATGACTCTCAAAGTCGTCCCTTGACCCAATCTTTATTTGAAACATCTGCTGTGAACTGCTTCCTGCCAGGACTCAGATACATACCCAACCCCTAAAATGCACAGACATAACATTAGACAAACACTTGAAAATGTGAACATGAATAAGTTCACAGATCTAATGACTAGTGTAAGATCTGTCCTGTTACTTGTATCTTAGGAAATTTGTAAAGGAGGAGAAGGAAGATACCTTTCTATGGGGTATCTGATGAGTCCAATAGCACTGCATCGTACCACTGACCAAACTGACCGGGCCATTGTAGATTGTTCAGATGGTAAACGTAAGGATGATGTTGAAAGACTGTGGTAACCTATCATCTCCCTCTGCTAAGCATAAAAGATACAGCACAAGAGTATGAGAGTTGGACCCAAAAAATCTAGTAGAAATTCTGGTTCTGTTACTTATTAGCTATGTGACTCTGGGTAAGGTCTCATCAACCCTGCAATGTGCTATTTCCTTATCTGCTGGGCGCAGGGCAGAGCGCAGGGGAGTTCCCACTCACTGCCTACTTCTGCATACCTAATCACAAGGCCCACTCACTCACAGTGAAGACTGGAAACTACATGTGCTCACTGATACCTGCTTCCATCCAAACTTGGGGCCGTGAAAACAGAAACCTTGCACCCTTTGACACACCCATCTCAAAGACCTGAACAACATTAATATACACTCAAGATATTTTATATTTAAAACTCTATACCAAATGATTCAAGAATACAAGACAGGCAGCCCAATTTCAAATATAGTCCATATGCTAAGCCATAAAGAAAACCTCAATAAATTCCAAAGAATCAATGTACTCCAACCATAATATAATAAAAGGTTAGAAATAATGAGAGAATAGCTAAAAATAGAAAAACCTCATATTAAGATATTGACTTTCCCATCACATTCACCCAGACTTCTGAATACTGCTGGACAAAAGGTCTGAAAGGCTTGCAGACTGCACCCTCTTACCAGTGCCTCCATATTGTCAACAACTATTTCCCTGGTTAGTTCACTCCCTTTCTCCACAATGATGCTCTAGAACAGTGGTTGGCAAACCACGGCTCTCGAACCACATGTGGCTCTTTAGCCCCTTGAGTGTGGCTCTTTCACAAAATACCACATGCAGGTGTGCACGTTCAGTGCGATTGAAACTTTGTAGCCCATGCACATAAGTCGGTTTTCAGCCTGGCTGAGTCTATTTTGAAGAAGTGGCATTAGAGCCACATATGGCTCATGAGCTGCGATTTGCCGATCACTGAACTATACTATAAAGCCATAGATATCAAAACAGCATGGTTCTGGCAAAAACAAACAAAAAAACAAAAACAAAAAAAACAGACATATAGATCAATGGAACAAAATAGAGAACCCAAAATTAAATCCACACCTTTATAGTCAATTAATATTGAACAAAAAAGGCAAAAACATATAATGGACTAAAGATAGTCTATTTAATAAATGGTGTTGGGAAAATTAGACAGACACGTGCAAAAAAAAAAAATGAAACTAGACCACCTTCTTATATCACACACAAGAATAAACTCAAGCCGAAACCAGTTTGGCTCAGTGGATAGAGCATCAGCCTGTGGACTAACAGGTCCTGCATTCAATTCTGGTGAAGGGAATGTACCTTGGTTGCGGGCTCATCCCCAGTAGAGGGTGTGCAGGAGGCAGCTGATCGATGTTTCTCTCTCATCGATGTTTCTAACTCTCTATCTCTCTCCCTCTCTGTAAGAAATCAATTTTTAATTTTTTTTTTTAAAGAATAAACTTAAAATGGATTAAAGCCCTAGCTAGTTTGGCCTAGTGGATAGAGCACTGGCCTGAGGACTGAAGGATCTTAGGTTTGATTCCAGCCTGGTCTGGGCTCCTGGGGAGGCAACCAATCAATGTGTCTCTCTCACATTGATTATTTCTCTCTCTATCTCTCCCCCTTTCTTCCACCCTCTCTAAAATTTAATAGAAAAATATCCTCAGTGAAGATTAACAAAAAAAAATAGATTAAAACTTAAAAGTTAGACTCAAAATCATAAAAATCCTAGAAGAGTAATACTTTCAACAATAAAGATCTTCTTTAAATCCTAGAAGAAAACATAGGCAGTAAAAATCTCAGACATTCTAGTAGCAATATTTTTCCTGATATATCTCCTCCAGTGAGTGAAACAAAAGAAAAAATAAACAAATGGAAATACATCAAACTAAAGAGTTTTTGCACAGCAAAGGAAACCATCAACACAATGAAAAGACAACCCACTGAATGGGAGAACATATTTGCCAATGATATATCTGATAAGGGATTAATAATATTCTAAATTTATAAAGAACTTATAATACTCAACACCAAAGAAACAAACAATTTAATTGAAAAATGGACAGAGGAACTAAACAGACACTTCTCCCCCAAAGGACATACAGTTGATCAATAGACAAATGAAAAAGTGGACATACAGATGATCAGTAGACATATGAAAAGATGCTCAACATCATAATCAGAGAAATGCAAATTAAAACCATAAAGAGCCTGCCTACATTGCTCAATGGTTGAGCACTGACATATGAACCAGGAGGTCATGGATCCATCCAGGGTACATGCCACAGTTGTGAGCTCCATCCCCAGTAGGGGCCAAGCAGAAGACAGCCAATCAATGATTCTCTTTCATCATTGATGTTTCTATCTCTCTCCCTTCCTCTTTCTGAAATCAATAAAAAGTTGTTGTTTTTTTAAAACCCACAATGAGATATCACCTCACACCTCTCAGAATGACTATCATCAATAAATCAACGAACAACAAGTGTTGGCAAGGATACGGAGAAAAGGGAACCCTCATGTATTGTTGGCAGGAATACGGATTGGTACAGCCACTGTGGAAAAACAGTATGGCGTTACCTTAAAAAAGTTAAAAATGGAACTGCCTTATGACCCAGCTATTCCACTTCTGGGAATTTATCTGAAGAAACCCAAAACAGTAATGTGCACCCCTATTTCATTGAAGGATTTTACGATAGCCAAGATTTGGAAGCAGCCCAAGTGTCCATCAGTAGATGAGTGGATAAAAATGCTGTGGTAAATTGACATAATGGAATACTATTCTGCTATAAAAAGGAAAAAAAATTTACCCTTTGTGACAGCATGGATGGACCTCGACAACATTATGCTAAGTGAATTAAGCCAGTCAGAGAAAGGTAAGTACCATATGATTTCACTCATGTGTAGAATTTAATGAAACTAAACTATCAAGCAAAACAGAGACAGACTCATAGACATAGAGAGCAGGCAGAGAGCTCTGGATGGGGGCAGGGAGGGCAGGGGTGGAGGTATTGCCAAAAAAAGGAAAAAAGAGAGAGAAGACATGGACAACAGTGTGGTTATTGTGGGGCAAAGGGGAATGAGTGGAGGTGGAAGAGGGAATGGAGGTTATAAATGGTGATGGAAAAAAATTAAATTAAAAAAATTTTAATGTGGGAAGATTAAAAAAAAAAAAAAAAAACAGTTACCATTATGTTCCATTTGTTAAAACAAAAAACACAGTTTGAAGTTGGCAACTAGAAAAATTTTATTGAACCATACACTTTGAGTAAATCCTGGCATTAATTTGGACATTTTTAAACAGCCATTAGTTCCAAAATATATCAGCCTTTTTTACGTTTATTACTAAAAACCAATTTAAAATCTTTTTAAAAAATAATCAACATCACCCCCTTCACCCCAACTCAAAAAAAAAAAAAAAAGTGAAAACTGCTAGTTTTTTCTTTCAACCTATGAGCACTGTGAAAAAGACACAATGTTGCTGAGAGCCAAGAGGTTAGACCTCTATGAGAAAAGCAGGAATAGTCTGGCTGGCATGGCTGAATGATTGAGAATTGACCTATGAACCATGAGGTCACAGTTTGATTCCTAATCAGGGCATATGCCTGGATTGCGGGCTGCAGAAGGCAACCGATCAATAATTTCTCTCATCACTGATGTCTCTATCTCTCTCTCCTTCTCCCTTCTCCTCTCTGAAATCAATAAAAATATATTTTTAAAAAAAGAAAAATAAAGAAAAGCAGGAATTAGGGGCTTAAAGAAACCAAAAGGGAAACAATTAACTTTGCATGAGCGTGATTAAGGAAAAACTACAGAAGGGAGATAGCCTGTGAGCTTACAGGTTGAGTAAAAAATGAACAAGCTATTCTAGTCAGATGTAAAATAGAAAAAGCTATACTAGTTTGGAGGAAAAGCAAAGACATTCTAATTAAAAGGCAGGATGTCCAGTTAATTGTCTTGGGTGTGATAAGGTAACATAGTTAGGAAGAAGAATATCTTTGTTAGGAGACACATAATGATGTTTTCAGGGTCAAGTGTTATGATGTTGTAATTGACTTTCATGTGATTAAAGAAAAAATATATTTCAAGAGAGAGAAAGAACAAATGGAATATGTTAACTGTTAATGTATTTAAATGTAATTGTGAACATTTTTCAAAATTAAAAAGTTGGGGGGAAATAAACCACAAAATTTGATAAGGTGAGTAATTAGTATATGACTTTTACTTCTGAATTAAATCTAAATTGTTCTAAAAGTAACTGAATATTTGCATTT